TACTAGACAACCGTACACATTTGATTGGAACTTTGAGATCAAATCGTAGAGGTAACCCAAAGGAGGTTTTGGATAAGACATTGAAGAAGGGCGAAACATTTTGCAAAGAAAATTCAAGAGGTGTATGTGTGATAAAGTGGCATGATAAACGCGATGTTCTTATTTTGTCTACTAAGCACACTGATAGTTGCCAACTTATTGAACGCCATTCAGGACCCATAAGAAAACCGGATGCTATAATTGATTACAACGCAGGGAAATCATCAATCGATTTGTCAGACCAGATGTCCAGCTATAATTCCGCTTTGCGTCGATCATTAAATTGGTATCGTAAAATCGCGATCAAACTTCTGCTAGGTACAACTATTGTAAACGCTTATATGGTATTCAAGACACTTTCTAATTCAAACATGACGATTACTAAATTCAGAGAAGAAATTGTATCTGACTTAGTCAAAGGTGGGCCCGTTTATGATCAAATCGAACAAGCTGAAGATGAACTTTTAGAGAATGTTTTAATTTCAAACATTTAAAATGACTTTAATGACTTTTAAAACCATGTTATTTTTCAATTATTTCAATAAAAACTTAATTATTTCTATCTAAAATCATTGATTTTTCACTTATAATGTACAATTTTTTTTGTGGTATACACATATATGTAATACATAGCGCATATGTAAGTAAATATATTTACTCACATATCCATACAGGCCAGGCGGTCATGTTACCTATGCATTTTTAACGAAATCGGCGGTCTTATACCTTTTACAGACACTTTTGTTAAACAATGCACGACGGACAATATGACCGCCATGGCGAGAGTTACTAGTACTATGAGCGGGCATAATGACCGCTGTGGCAGTCAACCTGTTAATTCACAAATCTACGTTGATATTGTGTTTCAAATTAAATGGAGGATATTGTATAAATAAATGCAACACAGTAATTATTTAATTTTAATATTTTGGTTTTATTATAATACTAAAACAAGTACCCGTGTTGAAAAGTGGTATCTATTTGAAAATAAATGGATTGTTAATAATTTTCTTCATTTTCATCTTCGGAAGAAGAAAACTCTGTACTGGAAGAGTCACTGTCAAGATGTATAATAATTGGAGCTATTTGCGTGGCGTTATCAGCAACTATTTCGCTGTCCATATACTCATCTTCCTTCTAATGACATGGTAACATCGTTTTCTCCACTCATTTGCATCAATATTAGTGAATTCTTCCTCGGCGAGTTTTTGTACGTCAGCTAGCTTAAATGTAACGTTTTTCTGCCTCATATTATTTTTGACTGTAGCCCATATTAGTTCAATAGGGTTTAGGTCAGGATGGTAAGGAGGTAAACGTAAAGGAATATGGCCATGCGCACGTAGAATTTCGTCGAATTTGTATTTTACATGATGAGGTTTATGATATTTAATTATTTCATACAGTTCAGGTTTTAAAGCACTAGGTGTAAATGAAATATTTTTCTGCATTAACCATTCTATCATTTGATTTTTGTTTGAGTTTGATGTAGGCGCCCGCTCCAACTGAATGCTGTGATAAGGTGCGTTATCAAAAACTAATACCGATAATAGCAGGTAAATTAGGTAATAAATGTTCTTGTAACCACTTTCCATAGTTGTATGAATTCATTTCAGAGTGGTAATCCCCTGATTTTGAACCTGATTTAAAGATTAATAAGCCATTTTTTATGAATCCCATATCCCCACCGGCATGCACTATTATTAGTCGTTGACTTTTGGAAATATTTGAAAATAAGCCCTTGGTTAATTCGTCAGTCCAGTTCTTTAAAGAAGTATGACTGCTGTGTAAGTAGGTCTCGTCAACATACACGATTGGCCTATTTTGACTCCGAAAATATTTGATTTGCCTGAGATATTTTATTATCAAAGCTCTTATTGCACTTTTTTCTACAAGCACTTCTCAGTTGTTTTCGGTTTTCCTCCAACGAAATTGCATTTTGCGTAGAAGTCGCCTTAAAGATGTTTGTGAAATTGTGATATCCAAATCGTTGTGAATTTTTTGTTTTAATTTTTTTACCGTAACCCGACATTTTTCTGTTTTATAAAAATCGTAAATTATTCTGCGAATGTCGCTTTTGAAATAATTAAACACATTAAATATAATCTTCCGAGATTCTCCACTAATAACAGAATTATTTTTTCTACTATTTTTCAACGCCATCGTTAGAAATTGTCACAAATACACTTAACTATCCGAAATAATAAGAAGTCTGAAAAATAATAGCCGCAAATCACTTAAGTGTTACGCACCTGATAACTGGGAGGAGACTAAAGACCACCACCTAGCCACTAAGCCATTTTGGGTTTGTGCGCACCGCCAAGTTAGCTGGCGATGACAGATGAAAACCTCCAAATTATTGTTTTAGGTATAAGTGACGTACAGTAGCCAGGTTGAGGCAAACAAATTACAAATAATGGAACCATGTATTATTCAGGTAACAACGAGGTCAGCCATCGCTATGGTATTACTATTTTAGTTGCAAAAAAGGTCAATTACTCTGTGAGAAGTTTTACTCCTTATTCTGATAGGATCTTATCAATACAACTTCAGTCCAAAAAACGTATAGTAAATTTTATGCTCCTACGGCAGATGAAGATGACGACAAAATCGAACTATTTTACCATGATTTGGAAAAAGTCTTCAAATCAATGGAAAAATATCACACTAAAATAGTAATGGCCGACTTCAATACCAAAGTTGGCCAGGGAAGAGTGGATGGATATGTGGGGAAATATGGTCTAGGAAATAGAAATGAACGTGTGGACCGTTTGATAAAATTTGGCCAGACGGAAGAATTTGTAATAGCTAATAAACTTTTTAAGCTACCAAAAAGAAGATTGTATACATGAAAATCTTCCGGTGATACAACGAATAGAATAATCCGCAATCAATTTGACTTTGTCCTCATTAGACAAAGATTTCGTAATTCTATACTGTCTATCAAAACTTACCCTAAAGCAGACATCGGTTCATACCATAACCCCATAGTAGTCACAATACGAACCAAATTAAAACTGTTTAAAAAACTATGGTAAATGCATGGAATGTTTACAGGAAGACGAAACCTATGGAACTCTCTCAAAAATCGTTAAAAACCCAACAATATCACATTCCAGTTTGACATTTAACAGTGTCAGATGATCTACGATATGATGGTCGTAGACATTTACTTGTGCCTAATGGAAATAAGAAACGAAGAAAATGTGCCGGGGAGGGATGTTCATCTAATATACTTACAAAATGTTTCAAGTGTAACGTTGAGCTATGTATAGAATGTAATGATGATCTACGATATGATGGTCGTAGACATTTACTTGTGCCTAATGGAAATAAGAAACGAAGAAAATGTGCCGGGGAGGGATGTTCATCTAATATACTTACAAAATGTTTCAAGTGTAACGTTGAGCTATGTATAGAATGTAATGAAATATTCCATACCAAATAATTTTGCATTACATATTAGGCTAGCATTACCATATGGTTACAGTCCAATTCGTGTTCTGTCCAAATAAAGTGTACTTCTATCATATATTTTTGAAGTTATACGTCTATACGCACGGTCAGCGTTGGAAATTTGCATGGGAGTGAATCTGTGAAACCATTACATATGTAAGGTAATGAGTAGGAGAGAGACAGAAGATATATTTTCTCTCTCGTCCTCTTTCGGGAATAAAAATGTTCCTTTTGTATATATATTTAATATTATATATATATATATATATATATATATATATATATATATATATATATATATATGTATTAATATTATTATATCTGTGATATGTTTTGTATTATTTATTTCACATTTGTATGTTTATAATTTCTATTTCAAAATAATCACTGTTTGACCGAGAACTGTTAATTTTGAAACCGGTTAGTGTCATGTCTATTTGGCAAATCCTTTACGTGTTTAGTTCATACACTGGTGTTTGTAAATTCGAATCCCAATATGAATTTCCTTTTTTTTATTTAAGAAATATATATATAAACCTCACGTTAATCTTATTAAATATATGTAATATACGCAAAAATGCTAAATTTTAAAATAAAATGAAAATTTACAACATAATCCGAGTTGTTGATTTCTATTTTTATCTTCGTAAAGTAAGTTAAATAGTAATTTTATTATGTATATTGGCAGTTTTAAATACTTATGAATATTGCATTTTAATTTATATTATATTATATATTGGATTATGTTGCAGTGTATTTATTGTATTGTAATTTTTATATTAACAACAAAATAAACAACGAATTTTACTGCAGAGTATGTGTAAATTTTTTTTTTGCATTTAACTCCTTTTATACATATATGAAAATAAAAATATATATTTTAATTAAAATATTGATACAATCCTTCATTTACTATACTCCTATTACAGGTCAAATGTTTATATACAGCAAACAATGCACCATATACCTATATACTAAATTCTTTTTCTCTTTCTGCTCTCTCTTACCTATAGCATTACATATGTAATGATTGTGCAGGATGACTCCCACATATACATTCCCGTATATAGAAGTGTAACTTCTACCGGCACTGGACTGCCACGCCCGTTTTTTTTAATTTTCCGAAAATATATAGTTTTAATACTTCGCTAAATCCTCTCCATCCGCTAATATAAAAAAAACACAAATTTCACCGTTAAAAGGTTAAGATACAATATCATAAATCACAGAACTGTTAGCTATTATTGGTTTTGTATAAAATAAAAAAGATCAAAATAATGCTAGAAAAAAATAGACATTGGACACAAAACACCAAACCTATGGGTAAAAATTTCTCTAAAAATTTTCTTTAGTTTGTTCTTTTATAACATTATAAAGTTCTACCGAATTTTTTGTCCAAGAATGTAAAGTAATTTATAAGTACATATTCTGTAAAAGCACTTAATTTAGCTTTTTATTAAGAGAAAAATGTGATGTAATTTAACACTTTAATCAAAACATTAACTTACACAGCGACTGGTTCTTTGAACTTCCCACACTGTTGTATCTGAAACATTAAATCTCCACCATTTACGTACTCCATGACGAAATACAAACGATCCTGCAATATAAGGAGACAAGGAGCTGTTATTAAACACATCATTCAAGAAAATAGGACAGTTTATTGTATTTTACTATAAATGAAAATCTTGTCAGTATGAGCTTTAATATGAATCTAATGTATTGTAATTTTAAAAGATTTTTTAAAATGAACTAAGAAACATAATAACATAGATAACGTTTATTAATTAATAAAAAAATAAAACAAAAAAAATTAATTAAATTATCTATTTGCACATATTTTTTTAAGTTGGTGTGTGTTACAATCTTTTAGAAGAATATTATTACAAAATTGGTTATCTATAGAAATCAACAAATAATATTAAGTTAACAAATTATTTTCCAGTGTTAGACAATCTCTTTTGTGAAGGGATCATACCTTGGAAAATTTTAATCTTTCGTAACCCTCTACTAACCCTAATCTACGTATCGTAGATAGCTTGTTCGTAAGTAGAAGAAGATTCTTGATCACAGTGACCGTTCAACATAGGTCTCTATTAACCATCCTAATCCAAAAGTATACAATTTTATTTTATGTACTAGTATTAAAAGAGAAAGGGAAAGAGTATGTATCTAAAAAAGAAGATATTAAAAAGTGAAAGTAAATGAAACGTCCATGTGATTGTCGGAAAAAATGTTATCAAAAATTCACTGAAGAACAAAGAACGATATTGTTTGAAGGTTTTTATAATTTATCAAAAGATGGGCAAGATCAGTATATAGCAGAAACCGTCAAAGAAACGACAAACAGAAGAATAAAAATTAGAAAGGAAAGTGAAAAGTCTGACGGCATTAGCCAAAGGAAATTTAGCACAAGTTATTTTTTAACTACTGATGAAAACGAGTCTATTAAGGTATGTCAAGCGATGTATATTCATACGTTTGATTTAACTTTAAAAAAAGTTAAAAGTCTCGAGAATTGTTGATAAAATAGAAGAGTTGATAGTCAATTGAATATCTTCCCAATGGATGGCAAAGGAAAGCATTCTAAACATTATAAAATCCAAGAAGATATATAAGATGTTATTAGGAAGTATATCAATAGTTTTCCACCTTATAATAGTCACTATTCTCGAGTCAATATATAGAAAAATATTCAATGAAGAATTTAGTATTTCTTTTCACGGTACTGCAAATGACACTTGTGCTAAGTGTGTAAAGAAGAAGAGGAACAGAGAAAGCTTTTACTTACGAGGGGGGAAAACATTTAGATTTAGCGGATAGTGCTTATAAGCAAAAGTCGTTAGACAAAGAACGAAGCAAAATAGACCAAACATTTGTGGTTGCTTCTTTTCACTTGGAAAAATGTCTACCAATCACATACCTCCGAAGCGGTGTTTAGTTTAATAAAAGGCAACTATGGACCTACAACTTAACAGTGTTTAAGACTTCCTATGGAACGAGACAGTGGCTGGTCGTGGTGGGCAAGAAATAGAACTGCATAACTTCTACCAATAGAACTAGAAATGCTTCATTTGTACAGTGATTCTTGTTCTGGCTAAAACATAAACATTTTTGTGTCTACAATGATATTGTTAGCGTGAGATAAAGAAAATAGGAAAAAGTTTGAAAGAGGTACATCATAAATTTATGGAACCTGACCACACCCATATGGAGACCGACACAATTCATGCGGCAATAGAGACAGCTAACAAAAAGACAACATCTGAAATTCCCCATTATGGTTGAAGTAATTTCATAAGAAGTGTATGGAAGACTCCTTCTGTTTAATTTATAGAGATGTAACAAACAGATTTTTTAAATTTTAGTAGCATACTATCAGGAACATTAGTACATCGTAAAAATAATGATGTTGGGGAAGCTATACCGTGGATGCAAATAAGGTGGTTAAAATACACACAAGAACATTAGTTGCAATGCTTTTACAAAAAAAAAGTGTTGTAGATGATGAAGCTACTAGAAATAAAAAAAAAACAAAATGGAAATTGAGCAACCAGAACCCATTAATTCAGAACCTTTGCCTCTAGCCGACAATAAAGTAAAAAATTTGTTGGATTTACTACACTTACATTAGTGAATACATCTATGCTTACACTATTTCAGTTCCAGACACCAACGACGGATTAGGGTTTAATTTAATTTCTTTTGTATTTTGTATGTTAAAAAATCATTTTTTTTTCTAAATCATAATATTTTACTGCTCTGTTGTAGGGCCAATGTCTCTATCCGGCAAAATCTGCATAAGGTAATGTCCATGTTTTTCTAGATATAAAGAAAAATATTAAAATATATAGTATTCAGTCCAATGAAGCTTGGCATTATGTTATATATACATATTTAAAAAAAACAGCATAATATTTTATAAACTGATTAGATATTTGTATAAACATACTCCAAACCTGCTAATCCAATTTTCTTCAAACAGTAAAATGGACGTTGGCCCTTTTTCTATAAAGGTACAGATATTTCATACTTATATTAATTTTTGGGGCAGCTTGTTTTTTGTACAAGCAATACTGTGCTCATATCGCTAAAATTATTTTTAAATTTATTTTTAGATTTACTTTGAATAAATATTTCCATTTTTGTTATTACATTTTTTTTATAGAGGAACGTGAATATATTATTTAATACTGTTAAGTATTCACCTTACTTATGCTTTTATCTTTGAGATGCTAAACATATAATAAGACTTTTATGTTCACAGCTGTTATTGAGTTTTGTCAATTAATTATTTCATTAACTGGTCTTGTAGATTGTTTTATTTTAGTATAATAATTTCTATTAACCCTCCATCACTCGCACCGTTAGAAAAAATCTAACATTTTTGAATATTTTGCCATAATTTTCAAAATATTGCTTCTTTTGGGTTCTGCAACAAGGAATACTCCTATGAAGACTCTTATAAGACTAAGTTAAAATGGTGGCTGGGAGTACCTATTTTATTCAATCAACGCTTATAGCCGACAGCAGTTGTTGTTAGTTGATAGTTCAAATCTAACACGCGAACGATCACGTTCGTCGGAGCGTCAGAAAAAAACTAACTACGCGAGTTTTGGCGTGTGTTGATTTTTAGAGAGATCACTTAAGAAAAATTGTAATATTATCAAAAGGTAAGATTTTTAGTGAAATACCTAAAGATTGTTGAACATCCGTTATTATAAGCGCTATTTTGGTTTATTGCAGGTAAATATAGACAAGAAACTGGAAAACCAGTTACTAAAATGGTATGAAGAGATAGACAGCGATGTGGAACTACTAGATTCTGATAAGGACTTAGTGATGTTTCTTCTGAATACAGTTTCCACAATACAGATTCTGAACAGTTCACACAAGATCTACCCAGTGATCCTGAAGATACCATTGAAGAAAGCGGCCAAGATGATACTTATCCAAGAGTTTATGGCAAAGATAAAACACCATGGTTGAAACATAAGAAATACACTCCCAAAGGTAAGACCAAAGCTTGTAATATTGTTACGAACTTACCTAGGATAAAAGCAAAAGCAGAAGGCGCCAAAACCATATTAGAATGCTGGAAATTGTTTTTCTATTGTTCTAACCTAATATGTATATTTTTTTAGTTTACCTAGTAGTATTTTTTGCAGTTTTGTTTTAAAAAAATTTAAACCTATTTAAACCTGTTTTTTGTGAGTTAATAGCCAATAAACTTAACCAATAAGTACTAATGACTCCTTTATTTAACCTATATGTTAAATAAAATCTAACACGCGAGTAATGGCGTAATTTTTTGAAGTGCGAGTGTAAGGTGTAGAGTGTAGGGTTAAGAAGTTTGTGAAAGATAAACTCATATCTAAGGCATTAAGAGTTTACCAACATAATATATATACATTTTTTTTTAAATAATATACAAATTAGAGTAATTTTAAATTTAAACTTGAATATACGTAAGCAACACAACTGGCCTATTGGTATTAGGGACGATTAATAAAAATCTCCTACTTACCATTGTCTGAAAACAGGAGTGAAGCTGCACAAGGAATGGCGGTTTACTTGAAAGTGCCAATACGCGCTTTTCAACCATTGTACACTCCACATCATCGTCTTGAATGATGATGTCTTTTTTTAGAATCTTTATGGCGTACAGCTCGTCGGTGCCTTTTCTTTCAGCCAGCATCACCTTTTAACAAAAACATACAGTCAGTTATAGTAATGGTGATGTATAAAAACTGGACGAAATAAAAGTAAAAATTTGCATTATTTTTTAAAATTTTTGACCATTAAACGGTGTATATCATGCGGTCCATAAAGTATGTAAAAGCCAAATGGAATAAATTCATTATTTAGGTTACTGTACATGTTTATAAAAAATCCCGAAACACTCAAATTTAAAATATAGCTTGACATTCTTTAACGTGAAAATGCAACCCCTACCTTCAACCCCCTTAGAATGACAGGTACAACCCCCAATTTTTTAAATAGGAAGTATAGGCTTGTGATATATCGTTTGAAAGGTCTTTTTATTCTCCATTCAAAAATGTTGTCGCTTTTAAGTTTATTAAAATTAATTAAGATAAAATAAATTAAGATCATGTGGTTACCGAAATTCGCTAAAATATACTGAAAACTTATTTCCCGTTTAGGTCTTGATAATGAGAAAGTAAACAAAAACCATAGCAATGTGGTTTTTAGATGGTAACCATTAAAAAACTTTAAATAATTTCGGTGGCATCGTTATTTTAACACACATTAGTAAATTGTTTTATTTAAGTTGTCAGTATTTTAATTTAAGTAAAAAGTTCGTTCAATTCAATTTTGAAAAATGGTTAGATTAACGGAAATGCATAAAATAACAGTTTTAAAAATGATTGGTTACGGAGATAACACCCGAACACAACAGAAAGTAACTCGCCTATTTCATGAGAAATTTACTAATTTACTGCCTATATCCCAAGGAACAATAAGTAAAATAGAGAAGCAGTTTCGCGAGTTTGGTGATGTAAGGCAGATAAAAAAAGCAGCTGCCAATGCACGTAGTGTTGAACTCAAATTAGATGTGTTGTTTGAGTTTCAGGAAAATCCACATACATCGATAGTAAACATAATAAAAGAAAATAAATTGCATCCCTATAAGATGGGGACATGTGGGGATGAGGATGGGATCTTCTTCTTCTAGTTCCATGACCGTTATCGATCGTTGGATATCATGTTGGCTACCATATTCGCTATCGTGACTTTATTGACAGCAGCTCTAAATAACGATGTAGTTGATTTTCCATACCATTGCCTTAGATTTTTCAGCCATAATGTTCTTCTTCTACCAGGACCACGATTACCTTGGATCTTTCCCTGAATGATCAGATGTAAAAGATCATATTTTTCAGGGTGTCTCATAATATGACCAAAGTATTCCAGCTTGCGTTTCTTTATTATATTGACCAGTTGTGTTGTTTGGTTCAGCCGTCTAAGGACCTCCTCATTTCTAACTCTGTCGACCCAGCTTATTTTCAGTAGTCGTCTGTATACCCGAGGATGGGATGGGGATCCCCAAATTATGGACATGTTGGATAACGGTCATGTTAATCGGCAAAATTGCCGCTACTGGGACACGGAAAATCCTCACTGGATGAGAGAAGAACACACTCAATACCCTCAAAAGGTTAATGTTTGGGCACGGATTGTAGGAAACAATATCATTGGTCCCTTTTTCATTGAGGGCAACTTGAATGGCAACAATTATTTGGCACTACTTCAAAATGATGTCTCCTTCCAACGTTGGCAAATTTATATCCTGATCCAGGAAACCCTCAAGTTCTAGCGAATATGATATGGTTGCAGCAGGATGGAGCACCACCACATTACCAACTTAATGTCCGGCAGTACCTCGATACAATATTTCCCAATCGGTGGATAGGGAGGCGAGGATCGATTGAATGGCCAGCGCGATCACCTGATCTTACATTATTAGATTTCTTTTTATGGGAATATGTGAAGAGCCATGTGTACAAAACTAAACCTTCTGATTTAAATGACTTAAAAGAACGAATAACGCTTGAGATTAGGTCAATCACGCCTGTTATATTAAATAATGCTAGAAGACAGTTTTATTTGAGATTAGGATATTGCCAAGACGTTCGCGGTGAACATTTTGAACATCTACTTCATTAACATTCATAGTTTTTTTTCGTGTTTTACATTTTATTACGTTTTGCATTACGTTTTAGTTTTTTTTTTATTGTATTGTAGCGAATTTCGGTAACCACACGATTTTAATTTATTTTATCTTAATTATTCTTAACAAACTTGAAAGCAACAACATTTTTAAATGACGAATGAAAAGACCTTTCAAACGATATATCACAAGCCTATACTTCCTACTTTAAAAATTGGGGGTTGTACCTGTCATTCTAAGGGGGTTGAAGGTAGCGGTTGCATTTTCACGTTAAAGAATGTCAAGTTATAATTTAAATTTGACGTGTTTCGGGATTTTTTATAAATATCTACAGTAACCTAAATAATGAATTTATTCCATTTGGCTTTTACACACTGTATGTATGGAATAAATTCATTTTTCGCTTTATTAAGTACTATACGAAAAAGACCTGAAACAGGTCGTATGGCACCTTGTTAGAAAGGGATTTTAGTCCTCTGTTCAGCAATATAAAGTTTTTCAAGTTTGGTGCAATCATAACTAAGAAAATTGATTTTTAAAATGTAAAATGTTGATAATGTCTCTATCACAAAACTTTAGGTTGACTGAAGATAAAAATGTCACATAATATTTAGAATTTATTTTTTAATGTACTTTACAATTAAATTAAATGTTCAAAATGATCACTATTCACTTCTTGACAATACCCGATACGATTTTGGAATTCTCGTATAAAATTTTGTATAACTCCGGGAGTTATTTTGTTAATTTCTTCCGTTATCCTAACTTTTTAATTAGGGATACTTTGGTCTATTAAAATATACTTTAGATTTTAAATAACCCCATAAAAAGTAATCGAGAGGAGTCAAATCGGGGGATCTAGCCGGCCATTCGATCGTCCCATGTCTTCCAATCCACCTAGTGGGAAAAACCGTTTAAATAATTTTTAATTATTAGTGCAAGATGCGGTGGAGCTCCATCTTGTTATTAGTAAATAGGCTGATCTATCTGATTTGGATGAATAAAATCTTCGTAATTTAGGCACTAAAAAGTTAATAAAAAAATCTAGATAAACCTCACCATCAACTGTGCCCTAAAAAAAATAAGGACCGATAATTTTATTGTTAATGATACCAGCCCAATAGTTAATTGTTTTAGGAAATTGCGTGTGAATCTCACATACCCAGTGAGGATCTGCGTTCATTTTGTCCATCATCATTTTACATAATTATTGCCTTCTATCAGGAACATCTTCATTTAACTTCTGAACTAACTGAACAAGATCCAGTTGCACATCTCCCTAATTCAAAAAATATTGCTGATACCTTCTTTTTAAGACCAGTTGATAAGACAGAACTCATTCAAACAATTCGTAGTATAAAAAGCAAATCGTCCTGTAGTACAGATGGATTATCTATTAAAATTTTCTCAAATCTTTCGCATAATGTTTTGGAGGTCATGGTCTCGCTAGTAAATGATTCCCTTGAAAAAGGTACATTCCCTAACTGCCTAAAGACTGCCATCGTTATTCCTCTTCATAAAGGTGAAGAAAAATCTGATGCCTGCAACTATAGACCTATTGCCTTGTTACCAGCACTATCAAAAATTATTGAAAGGCTTATAAAAGTTCAACTTATGCCCTTTCTCCTTAAACATAATATTTTTACATGAGGTATATCTATCACTAAATAGTAACCTCTCCTCCGCCACCATCTTCTGCGACTATTCCAAAGCCTTTGACTGCGTAAATCACAACATTCTATTAAAAAAATTAACTTTCTATGGAGTTCGGAGTGTGTCTTTGAATTGGTTCAGAACTTACTTGGTAGGTAGGAAACAATTGGTTAGAATAAAAGACACCGACTCTGGTTGTAAAGATATTGAGTGTGGAGTACCGCAAGGTTCAGTATTAGGTCCCCTTCCTTTTTTACTTTTTATTAATGATATCACTTACTTGAAAATTAAAGGAAAAATGTTTTTTTTTGCTGAAAAAATGGAAAATTTGCTGATGATACCAGTATTACTTGGAGCAACTCTAATATTTTAACGCTTCATTCCATTATAAACGCTGATTTGCTTATAATCAAGGCTTGGTCAGATTCCAACTTACTTAGCTTTAACGTAGATAAGACAGTAGCATTATCTTATAAAGGAGTCACTCAACCCTTGCTTTTGAATAAGAGCCAAATCAGTATCGGTAATTCCGTAAAATTTCTAGGTATTCTTATCGATAGTGATCTTAAATGATCCTTGCATACTGACTCCTTAAGGAATAAACTAGCATCAGCTTGCTTTGCAATAAGATCTGTTTCGAAGGAACTAAATTTATCCTTTGTTAAAATGGCATATTTCTCATTGTTCGGGTCCCATCTTTGATATGGGTCTCCATTTTGGGGTTCTAGTACAGCGGCCTAATTTGATACTTTTTTTAAGTTGCAAAAAAGAGCAATTCGTTACCTATTTGGTCTCAAACAAACAACTCATTGCAAGACCTACTTCAAAAATCACAGAATTTTGACGCTTCCCTCTTTATTTATTTTGGAAACGGTTTGTTTGATTCGCAAGCATCTAAATATTTTTCCCGATAGACCTGATCATGGCTACTTCATTAGAAATTCGAATTGTAACGTTTATTTACCAATCCGGTCCACTCAGCTAGTAAAGAATTCTATTCTATATAGTACAAAAAAACTATATAATCACCTTCCAAGAGAAATTAAATCCGCAACATCTTTCATTAAGTTTCGTAAGATGACAAAAATCTACCTGTCTGAAAGACCATATTATTCAGTTGACGAGTTTCTTAGTGTATAACAAAGAAACAAAATTAGTATTGTTTGTAATTACATTTGGGTGTCTCAAGCAGTGGCACAATTTGTTTCATTTGTTGTTGTCTGTACAAATTATGTAAGTTATACAATAATTTTACTAATTTAAAATTGTATTGTTCTGTTTTTTATTATATTTGTTTTGTTTTATACTTTTTGTATTATTTGACTGATTTTTTTAGCTTTCTTCATAAAATTGTTCAATAATTTTCAGTGACAATAATAGTACATTGTTTACCGGGTAGGAAAAGCTTATCATTCCTGGACGACTGTGAAGATTGCTAAGTCGAGGCGCAAGCCGAGACTTAGCAACACAGAGTCCAGGAATGTGGCTTTTCCGGTACGAGGTAAACATACTATTTTTCCGCAAATCGTTTAAAATTCGACAAATATTGATTGATTTAAAAAAAACGCGATAATTTTATTCCCAAATAAATGGTGCTTTGAAATTCCTAATAATGGAGGTTGAATTGTCAAACTTGACCCTTATAAATTTAATTGCTGGTGTTCTCGAAAGTAAAATGATAAGTGATGATGAAATTTCCATTCCTGGGACTCCTCCAGAGCTGGTTGAGGCAGTGAATACTGCTTCATTAGAATTATTTCCAAAGAAATCAAGAGAAAAGTACGAAAATGCATACAGACGTTTTATGGATTATCGCATGAGTAAAAATACGAGTTCTTTCTCAGAAAATGTTGTAATGGCATACTTCCTAGACCTTTGTTTAAAGATGAAATCTTCAACATTATGGGCCAATTATTCAATGCTGAAGTCAACCCTTGCACTTAAACACAATGTAGATATATCTACATACTCAAAACTTCGTTCTTTATTGAAACGGCAAGCTCAAGGTTATAGGGCAAAAAAATCTAAGATTTTAACGAAGGAATAAATTGAAAAATTTATCCAGGAAGCTCCAGATAAAGAAAATCCAATGATTAAGGTAATTTACAAGGTTTTAATTTCTATTTAGATTATAAATTTATTTATTTTTTAGGTGGCTGTAATATTTGGTATTTCTGGGGCCTGTAGAATGGATGACTTAGTCCGAATGACTGTACACGATATAGAAGACTTAGAATCTAAGCTTTTAATCAGCATACCTGATTCGAAAACCAACAAACCAAGATCATTTGTAATTAATCAGATCTACTTGAATGTTTATCGAAAGTATGTTTCGTTAAGACCAGAAAATATGAACAGTGGCCGATTTTTCTTTAAATATCAAAGCGGAAAGGGTTGTAGACAAGTGGTAGGAATTCATCAATTTAGAAAAATGCCCAAAATAATTGCTACTTATTTGAACTTGGTAAATCCGACAAAATATACTGGTCACTGCTTTCGTCGGTCTTCTGCAACAATATTGGTTGACTCTGGTGCCGACATAACTAGTTTAAAGAGGCATGGCGGATGGAAGTCAGCAAACGTTGCTGAAGGATATATCGAAGAATCGCTTAACAATAAGGTTGAGGTGGCAAATAAAATTTTCACAGTACAAAATATTCAACAAAATGACACTTCCACCCTGCATGTTGTCCAAAATGTTTCTCATAGTTCTAAGAGTGTTCCTCCAATGTTCAATAATTGTACTAACTGTCAAATTACTGTAAATATAACAAATTGATCTTAAAAATGTATTCAGCAATGACTTGATGTTTTCAAAATATAAATTAATTTCTTATAAGCAATGTGTTTTCTATCATTTATGTAGAACACTAACAACTGTACGGAAATATCATTTCCTTACAGTAAGGAAATGACATTTCCTTACAGTAAGGAAGTCCTGACTTTTTCTTCAAGAAATTTTGACAGGAATGTCAAAATTTCCTGGCGATTTGCGGAAAAGCATATTTCTATTCTATTCTATTCTAATAGACCAGGCAATATAGCTGATATAGAAGTTAGGATACATCGCCTTGGTTATTGTCAAGAAGTGAACAATGGTGGTCAAGTTAAATATTTAATTTAATTGTAAATAGCAATTTTCTCAGTTATGATTGCACAAACTCAAAAAACTTTTAATTGCTGAATAGAGGACTAAATTGCCTTTCTAACAAGGTGTGACACAACCATCTTTGCTATTTAAGGGGTTTAGATTACCCATGTTTCTAATAACATCTTTATCAACGTCTATTTTGCCTTGAAATTCTTAGAAGGCACAGTTTAAAGCAAAAATCTGAATTTGGTTTCGAAAATTAGTTTACGGATTTTAATAACGGAGTTTATTATACTAATATCTCTGAATCTCTTTTTTGTTCGTAATTAAAAAATTGATTTTATATTTTGCTCCTCGTCTGAGCTTTCCCTTGTTTATCTACTGTACTTCTTTTTATAAAAAAAGATGTAGGTAGGTAGCAGTCCATATTATTTTCCACAAGAAACTTTAATCGCTGTTTGCCTTTATCGATTCGTGTTCATTTTCAAAGTTTTCCAAATTGTTGCTTCAGACGTGTTTTTCTTAATTTCCATTTTGACGTTAAACTACCTATGCTAATAAACAGAATATACTTGGTTTAAATATAATCTTACATACTTAGCTACAGTGCCTAATCTAATATTTGTAACACATACCTTTCCAAATGATCCTTTACCCAAAACCATAAGGAAATTGAAATCACTTGCTCTTATTATGTCCTTCTTTCCCATATTATGTGGCAACTCTTTATCTACCATAATCGAAGGTTTTTTTGTAATAGATGTTTTCTAAAAATTTAGTTAACATAAATTAAATATATTTGTTTTAAAATATAACATTTTTACATACCCTTTGCTGATTTTTCAGAGTGATCATCTCAACACCTTCTTCCGGAACAGGTACATTATAAAATTCTCCTTCTTCTTGCGTGAGAAGCTTAAACCAACCATTGGCAGGGGCTTTGAGGATCTCCGATATACCAAATGATAGAGAGCCCATAAAGTCATTTCTGGATGTTCTATCCCAATCCCACACTTCTATTAGAAGTCTCCTGTCTTTGTCTTCCGATTTCAGATCGCTACAAAATTAATTGAATTAACGAATTTTGGAAAACGGTACACACAAAAAAAATCTAAATTATGGTATAAATATAGTGTATTTGTTATTTAATAATTTGATATTTAATAATTTAAACGAACGTTTGGTTATACAAAATTTAAAAAAGTAGATCAAAAAGTGATCCAACAAGTCAATTCAAATCTAACAAAAGTAGGGGAATAAATCTTAACATCAAAAGATGTCAACGAAAAGTGGAGCAATTTTCAGAAGGCATGACTAATGGCTGCAGAAGAAAATTTAAAACCCTGAAAAGACAACAGAAAAAAAACAGAACTGGATGACTTTAGAAATTCTAGAATTAATGGAAGAGAGGAAAAAAACCAAATGGAGAAATAAGCCAAAATAACAAGAACTACAAAGTAGAATTAAAGAAGAAATAAAAAAGGCCACGGAAAAGTGGTTAACAGATCATCGTCATCATTATCCAGCCTCAAGAGTCCACTGCTGAACATAGGCCTCTTCCTCATGTTTCCAACCCCGTCTATCTTGCGCCGCTCTTATCCAGTTTTTATTGAGTCTTCTTAAATCGTCAGTCCATCTTGTAGGTGGTCGACCGTCGCTACTCTTGTCTTTCCTTGACCTCCATTCCAATAACCTCTTTGTCCATCGCCCATCTGTCATTTTGGCTATGTGTCCTGCCCATCTCTCTGCTCCGTACGTCAAGACTGGGAGGACGCACTTATCAAATACCTTTCTCTTTAGGCATGTGGGTAGCTCACTTTTAAAAATTTTTCTCAGTTTTCCAAATGCTGCCCACCCAAGGACGATTTTTCTCTTCAGTTCATGAGTCTGGTTTTCCCTGCCAATCATAATTTCATGTCCCAGGTATTTATATCTATCTACGAGTTCTATTTGTTTCCCACCAATACTGATGTTCTGGTTGCGTACTAAATTGGTCATGATTTTTGTTTTTGAGATATTTATATTTAAACCTACATTTTCTGTAGCCACAACGAGATCCTTTACCATCTCTCTTGCCATACCTCTATCTTCAGCTATTATAAGTATATCATCGGCGAAACGTAAGTTGTTTAGATATTCTCCATCTATTTTTATTCCTTTTGTCATCCAATCCAAATTCTTAGAAGCATGTTCTAGCACCGTATTAAAAAGTTAAGGTGACATTGGGTCTCCTTGTCTAACCCCCTGTTCTATTTTTATGCGATTACTGTTAGTTACTACTGTTACTAGCCTGCATTCTTTAAGTGCCTCTAATATTCTGCTTAGCTCAACTGTGTCAAAGGCTTTGTGAAAATCAGTAAATATTAAAACTAGAGGTCTATTGTATTCCACTGTTTTCTCTATTAGGGTTTTTATACTTTGTAGATGGTCATTTGTTCCGTAACTTTTTCGGAATCCTGCCTGTTCCCTTGGTTGATAAGTCTCTAATTTTCTTTCCATTCTCTTAACTAGTATTCGCGTAAACAACTTATATATATATATATATATATATATATATATATATATATATATATATATATATATATATATATGGCTGAGGAGGCTAATCTGTCTGTAATTCTCTAAATTTGCTTTATCTCCTACTTTGTGTAATAGAATCATAGTAGCGTTGTTCCAGTCTGTTGGAATATTGGCGCTGTGAAGGCAGATATTGAAAAGTTGTTTAATTTTTTCAAGTAATACATCTCCTCCAATTTTAAGTGCTTCTGATATTATTCTATCTTCACCCGGGGTTCGATTATTTTTCATTTTCCTCAGGGTTTCTTTGACTTCTGATTTTGTTATATCGGGCTTTAAATCTGATCCTTAGTTTAATACCGCAGTTTTTACTGTAAATGGAGGTTCCGTATTGTTATCTTTTTTTCTTGATCTATATAACTCTGTGTAGAACTCTTGACTATTCTTAATATTTCATCTCTGTTCGTTGTTTCTTCTCCAGTTCTGTTTCTCAGTTTGTTAATTTCTATCTTCCTCTTTTGTACGTTCCTCTTCAAAACTTTCATGTTCTTATTTTTCTCTATTCCCTGTTTTGTTTTTTCTACATTGTAGTTTCTTATGTATTTTCTTATTGCCTTTGTGATCATCTTATTTATTTGATTTATCGCTTCTTTGCTTGTAGTGTTATCTTCTTTCATTTGTCGCCTTAGTTCTATAAGGGTTTTCGTGGGTTGACTCAGTTTTTCATCTTTTTTGCTTGTCGGACAATATTTAGTTTGAGCCTGTTGCATTGTGTTGACTATTTGTTTGTTCAATATATTGATGTCTGCTGTTGTTATATCTTTCAATGAATTACCAATATATTTTTTGAACTCCTGAATGTTAGTTGGTTTTGTCCATTTCTTTGGTTGTTTCTTATTTATTATTTAGTTATTATTATTTTACTTTACTTATTTATTATTTAGAGTCTTTCTTTTTCGGTTAATATCGTTATTTTAGCTCTTACTAACCTAATGCTTGTACTGAACTGTATTAGCACATTTACGTCTTTAAATAATTCTTTTTTGTTTGTTAAGAAATAGTTGATTTCGTTCCTTGTTTTTCCATCAGGACTTTCCTATGTCCATCTTCTGTGTTTAATCTTATTAAAGAAGGTGTTCATTTGATAGAGATTGTTTTCCAAAAGAAACGTCAGTAGTTGTTTTCCTCTATCATTTCTGCTTTCACTTCCAAAATTTCCCATTATTATTTCAAAGGGGTCTTCCTTAGTGCCTATTTTGGCGTTGAAATCACCACCTATTATTAAGAAGTGGCCAGTATTTTCCTTGAATGCACAGGATATTTGGTCGTAGAATATTTGAACTTCTTCGTCTGGATGTACTGTAGTAGGAGCGTACACTTGAATGAACTTTAGGATATATCTGGAGTTTATTTTGATGTTTAAGTAGACCACTTTTGTTGAGATTTGGTTTATTGACACAATTCGTTAACACATCAATGCATAGAAATAGAAGAGTATGACAGGAAATACGACTTAACCAATAGGTACTAATGACTCATTTATTTGACCTATACCCATATGTTAGATAAAATCTAACACGCGATTGATGGCATAATTTTTTGAGGTGCGAGTGATTGAGGGTTCCCCATTATTCTAAACTGTTTACAATAAATATATTTCATTAAAGCACTATGTTTTTATAGCCATAATTTAGATTTTAACCACCCAAAGCGTAATTTTTATAAATGTAAAATTAGCTTAGATAAAAATACTTACAAGGTTATAGTCTCGTTCCAAACAGGGTTGAGACTGGCTTTGATTGTTTTCGTTTTCTTTTTGACGTTGTCAGAGTCCGGAATAAGCTTCAGTTTGACGTATGGATCGCTCAAGCCGTTCGGATCCATCGGTATTAGATTTTTGCCCTGCATAACTGAAAAATTCAAAACAGGTGAAATGTAGGATAAATACGGAATAGGGAATATTGGTTTTCGAATATATATGCTTCCGATATATCTTTACATATTTCTTCCCACTGTAGAATCTAGAATCTATTTACGTTTACGTACATATTGAAGTGAAATACATTTTAAAAACTTTCTCTCTAAGGTAGTGTATGTATAGAAGGAAAAATATATACAGGCTGTTTTTTTTTAACTAAACTAATACAAGAAAATATAAACCGTCAAAACTACTTGAATGCCTAAATAGTATTGCACTTCTAAAAATTTTAAAAGACGAGCTTTCCTGAATATATCGTTAATCAAATATTCAAATAGTCATTTATATATTTTTGAATTAAACTACTAACAACTAGATACATAATTATTATCTTTACAAATCAAATGTAAAACTATTTGTTTGAAGCATAAGTCAGTACAATGAAGACTATATATAGTACAGGTTGTTTACAACTGTCGTTGTTTTCCTGTCCCTAGTTTCCATCGTTTTCTATCTCGGGTGTCGGCTTCATTTACCTGTCTTCCTTCCATGGCTTCATTCACGTCATCTCGCCAGCTTCTTCTTGGACGCCCTCTTTTCCTTCTTTCGGTTGAGATCCATTTTAATATTTTCTTTGGCCACCTCTCGTCTGCCATTCTGTTTACAGGACCGAACCAAGTTAGTTGTTTTTTCTGGACTTCATCTATAATGTCTTTTTCTTGCTCCATTCTACGTTTTATTTCTTCATTGCAGATTCTGTCCATCCTTGTCAATCTACAGCTTCTTCTCATAAAATCCATCTCTGTAGTTTGTAATTTTTTCCTGTTTTTTTTTACTAGTGTCCCATATCTCTGCTCCGTATGTTACCACCGGCTCAACCATCGTCTTATATATTCGTTTTTTCGTCGTTCTTGTGATTTTTTTATCCCAGAGAATGGAGTTTAGGCATTTGGTAATGTTTCTGCCTTTGTTTATTCTTGTATTTATTTCTTCATGGCTATTTCCGTCTTTTGTAAACACTACTCCTAGGTATTTTACTCTATTTGTTCCTTTGATTTTGTCACTCTCCAATGTCAGGTCTTCGACTGTATTTTTCCCCACTGAGAGATATTTGCATTTTTGTAAGTTCATTGTCAGTCCACATTCTTCGTACGCTGTTTGTAGTTTCCTAACCATATAGCTGAGACCGTCTATATCTTCTGCTACCACCAGTTGGTCATCAGCGAAGAATAGTGTATAGAGAATATCCTCATCTATTTGTATTCCCATATTTCTGCATTGTCTTTGCCACCTTTGTAGAGATCGATCCAGATATATTTTAAACAGCGTAGGTGATAAACAACATCCCTGTCGTAGCCCTTTCCAACAATGAAGACTGTTATATTAAATATAAATATTGTATATTTAACCAGAGATTTAAATAATGATCAAGATATAAGTACTGATATTAAAAAATAAGACAAATATACAAAATAAACAAAAACGACGAAGGTCACGTTTATTAATTTTGTATAAAAGTTAATTATAAATTTTTTTTCTGAAACTCAAACACCATACTTCTTTTTCTTCTATCTCCCAAATTCTTAGGAAGGCCAGTTTTGCGCTTCTCCGTGAAGCTATTCATTCCACTAGACGAAAACTAGTTGTCACAAATAGCAATATTTTTAATATTTGGTCATCTATTTATTCTTTCAATGTACATCCTATATTATGGGACAGTTTCGACCGTATCAATACACAAACAGCCCTAAACACTTTAAAGTCTAAGAGTGAAACTCAAAAGCGCTAATTATTGCATCTCATTTCCGAACAAAATCCAAAAACCTTAACGTTGGAACCCACTATAACAGTCCATAACTTTTCTAGTACCCCTATTTCGACCATTATTGTCACTCAAGTTTTAACAAAAGGTTTTAATTACTCTGTTACTCCAAGTTACATTCCAATTGAGACAATCATGTGTCAAACTGAAGAAGCCATCTCCAGTTTAACTTTCGAAGATGCTAAAATAACCAAACAAGACATCTTTAAGTTCTTAGAAACTCAAAGCCTCTTACCCAGAACATTAGTCAACCGAGAAAAAAGAAAAAAGCCCTGAAAAAACTTCAGTCAAAACCAAATCTAGTCATTCTTCCCGCCGATAAAGGTAACGCCACCGTCATCCTAAACACTTCTTCGTACATTAATAAACTCTGAAATCTCGTTAATACTTCAGACTGCAAACCAATTCCTAAAAATCCAACAACCAATTGGGAGACAACAACAAAAGCCATTATAATTATGATAATGGCAATGATAATTGACATTGTTTAAAGCTATTTAAAGATATAAGTAAAGATATAATTTTGTGATTAATTGGTGATAAATTGAACCATCAATCAAATGTTATTTATAAAATGAATTGTAAATACTGCAATTCAACATATATTGGACAAACATACCAATAACTACATTAAAGAATTGTTGCACACAAACATAGTGTACAAACCAATGCATTAAACATAACAGACCTAGTCAAACATTCTCTAGAAAATAGCTATTCTTTTGATTTTGAAAATTTGAAAATGTACAGATTTTGAAAAAAGAACAAAATTACAACAAAAGATGCATATTGGAGATGATTTACATAAAAAAAGATCCAAATTCCATCGATAATGAGACCGACATCAAAGATCTTTCCAATGTATATTATAATTAATTACATTAAGTTGTTTTTTAAATGCACTATGGCAGATATTTAAGATATGACCCTGAACCACTCCTAGTTTAAGATATCGGCTAGATGTGATCTGTCAATGTCAGATACCAATTTTTAATCCATGTTAAACTATTTAAAATAGTGTAAACATGAAATTTAATTGTAAAATGTAATTATAAAAGTTTAATAAAGTGCTTATTGAAAATGGCAAATTTGCCGAAACGTATTATGTATTTACATTAGACCGACAAAACCGACAAACCCAGGAAATAAAAAAAATTATATATATATATATATATATATATATATATATATACAGGGTGTTTCAAAAAGGTATGTCATAAATTAAATCACGCATTTCGGGGGAAAAATAAATTGATTAAATCCAACTTACCTTTGTACAAAAGTGTACACAAAAAAGCTACAGCCCTTTGAAGTTACAAAATAATAATTGTTCTTTTGCATTACCTTCTAAACTACCTGACATTTTGTAATAAAAATGGACATTTTACTTTTTTGTTCTGAAAGCATTTTTCATACAAAAGAAACAATAAAATCTAAGCGCACAGAAAAATTTGAAGGGGTGTGTGCAGCCTTAAATCTCCCCAATCTTTTGAGTACGTTGAAATCAAATAATTTTGTGGCATCATTGTCGTCTGCAAATATACACATCTCAGCGTTTATCATTTGCATTCTGTTCCAACCGATGCAGTATTTCTTGAACGTTTTCTTACATTCTTTCACTATCTCATCTATTACATTTATGAATAGCAATGGGCTGAGACTTCCTCCTTGTCTAACTCCCTGAGTTGTTTCAAATGATTCTGACTGCATATTTGACATTCTTACTGTGTTTGTTGTTTTTATGTATATACTATTTGTTGCTTCTATCAGTTCTTCACTTACTTGCTTCTTCTTTAGGCTTTCCCATATATCTTTTGTTTTGACTGAGTCGAATGCTTTTTCCATGTCTATAAAGCTCAGATATATTTCTCTATTTTTCTTTAAGGCTTTTTCTATTACTTCTAGCATGGTGAATATATGGTGTTGTGTGTTGTGTCCTTTCCTGAATCTACTTTGTACGTCCTCTAATTTATGTTCTATTTCATTTCTGATTTTCCTTTCTATTATGGTTTCGTATACTTTTGCTGCTAACATAGTAGTGATATACCTCTATAGTTCTTACAGTCTCTTGTGTTTCCTTTCTTGTATATAAGTATAATTACTGCATTTGTCCATTCTCTGGGTATTACTTTTCTCTTCCATATTAGGTTATATATGAATAACAATTTTTCTTTTGCTTCCTGGTGCTTTTCCAATCTTTATCTTTCTTATTGCTTCTTTCAGTTCTTTTTCTATAGTTTCTGGATTTTCCATGTTTCTCATGGATACTCTCTTGATGTAGATTTCCTTCTCCATTGTATTCGCTTGAATTCCATTCAGTATCAGCTGGAAGTGTTCCCTCCATGTTTCCATTATTGTCTTTTATTATTGTTCCTTCCTTGTTCATTATTTGTTTTAGTTTCGTTTCTTTGTTGCTTCTTAGGGTTTTCAGTGTTCTATAGTGTTTTGTCTTTATGTATTCTTTCCATAACTTCTTCTTTTCTTTTATTTCTCTTTTCACTTTATCGTTCCAACAAGATGTACGTCTCCCTCTGTTGTTATTTCTTGTAGTTCCACATATTGATTTAGCTTTTTTTATCATCGCATTTTAAAATTTTCTCTATTCTTCTTTTATTGTTTCAGTTATTTCATGTTCATTGTCCATCACTTTCTTTAGCCCTTCTGAGTATCTTATCTTCGTTGTTTCTTCCCTTAGTTTATAAATTTTTATTATTTCTTTGTGTTTTTTGTTTATGTTCTCATTTCTTCTTATTTCTTTTCTTTTTCATTTGAATGTGGTTTCTAGTAGATAGTGGTCACTACCAATTTCATAACTCCTTTTCACCCTTACGTCTCTTATCCAGTTCTTCTCTGTTATAGTCTCTAATAGTTTAACACATTATTTTTAAAAGTTTTTTTTGCCTCTTATCACTTTTTCTAAAAACTAGTTTTTTCCTACATAGTTGGCCATTCAATTACAATTAGTTTCTACGGATACAATTATTATAAACAGTTCCATCAATAATAGTCAATAATTTGAAGCTATTATTTATTGTGTGAATAAGAAATATTAAAAATTTTGATGTTACCATAGTTACAAATTTCAAAAAATGGCAGCTATGCATTTTACTTTGGGCTAGTTGGATCAGATTGAATTATAAGTTCAATAAACTATCGGGAATATCGTAGGT